TTTTTTTTTTTTTTTTTTTTTTTTTTTTGAGTCAGAGTCTCACTCTATTGTGAGTGCAGTGGCACACTCACAGCCATCGGAGCCTCGACCTGCTGGGCTCCGGTGATTCTTCTGCTTCAGCATTCCAAGTAGCTAGAATAACAGGTGGAAACCACCACACCCGGCTAATCTGATTTATTTTAGAGACGTGATCTCACCAAGTTGCCCGGGCCAGTCTTGAACCCCTGAGCCCAGGCAGTCCTTTGGCCTCTGCCTCCCCAAATGCTGGGATTACAGGTGTGAGCCACTGTTCCCGATTAACATTTAAAGTAAATTCACACTTGTCCCCACAGTATCCTTTACTGTGGACATTTTCTTAGGTATGGTATCAGTTTCCCCTCTCCTTCCAACATTTGTCCAGGCCATCCCTGGCCTCCTGTTGATAATGTTGCCCTCCCCTTACTTCCTCCTTGTTATCAATAACACACAGGAGTTAATATTTTTTGGATAGATCCATTTTCTCTTTGACTCACTTTCATTGATAATTTGTTCTGCTGCTCACATTTGATGAAGTCCCTTCTGGCAGTCAGCATCCTTCTTTAAGATGTGACCTGTTGCTGGAACAATCTCAAAACAAGCTTAAAATGTGGCTTATGACAAAAAATATAGAGATAAGAAGTCCTTCCTTTTCATAGCGTTAGCCAACTTTGGAACTGAACTCAAGATATAAAGTATCTCAATGGAGTCTCTCAGGGATGGCTTCCAAAATATGCTCCTTGGTCAAAGAGTTTCTCAAAAATGAAATTTCTTCCAATCATGAAAATAGGAGCTTATTGTGTAGAAGGAGCACTGGACTAGAAATTTGGTGGCATGTGTTTTAGTTCTTGTGCCAATAGCTAAAAGTGTAAGCAAATGAGTTTGTAAAATGGGAAGATTAGGTTATATTTCAATATTTTATGACTATTTAATTGTGGTTTTCACACAGACTCTGTAATTGATCTGTTTGCCGTGTAATGAGATGCATCTAGTAAGGCAGGCATGAAGAATCTTTAAGCCAGGACTCCTGGTAATATAAAAGTCCACCAATAATGGGAAATTTTATTTTTTATTTATTTATTTTTATTTATTTATTTATTTTTTGGAGTTGGAATCTCACTCTGTTGCCCAGACTGGAGTGCAGTGGCCGCTTCCGGCCACCGCAGCCTCGACCTGCTGGGCTGGGCTCCGGCGATCCTTTCACCTCAGCCTTCCAAGTAGCCGGAATTACAGGCATGCGCTACCACGCCCAGCTGATTTTTTTGATTTATTGTAGAGATGAGGTCTCGCTGCCCAGGCGGGTCTCGAAACCACCGGCTCAGGCAATCCACTCACCTTAGCCTTCCAAAGGTGCAGGATTACAGGCTGAGCCACAGAGCCCGGCTAATAATGGGAAATTTTAAAAGTGTGGTGTATACGAAACAGTATGGTGCTATGACAAAGAATATGGAAGTTTTCTGTGTAATGATATAGGAAGAGCTTCACATGTTTAAAAAAAGCAGTTAGAAGAGTGGATAAACTGTGTGTGCTGAACATCAGCCATTTGCCCCCCAGAGCCATCCTTCATCCTCCTCTAAACTGTTCTAGGACAAGGAAGCTCGCCTCCCTTACCCTCTGCTTCCTGTTGGAGTCAGCCAGTGGGAGCACATGGAGAGGTCGAAGGAAGGGAGGGAGCAGCTGCATCCCTTAACAGCAGGCTGACCTCCTATGCAGCAGCCTTACTGTCTCTCTTTGTCACACAATCTTACACCTGCTCCCTCCTGTGGCTCCCTCAGGCCTAGCAGTGGGAACAGCATCCTACTATTTCTAGCCCCAAAGCCCTCCACTTTAATGTTCTGTTTTTCTACACCTGCCTTAAACTATTTTCACATTACCAAATGGGACAGTGCCATCACTTTCCTTATAGAACACTGACTGATACAATAAGCTATCTTTTGGATAAAAAAAGCGAGGGGGAAATATAGAAACACATATTTGTATTTTCTTTTGAAAACTCGGGAAGATTCATGAAAAATTAATGAAAGCAGTTACCTGGGGTGGGAGGGAGGAAATGGACAGGGAGAACTGGGTCCAAGGAGTGGGAACAAGGGGAGGAAGGCTTTTCACAGTATCCCTTTTCTTTTTTTTTTTTTTTTTCTGGTTG